AGCCGCACCTACAGTAGAGGAAACAGTTAAGGAGCACTTAGTTCATTTGGGCAGACACAAATTCATGGGACTGGGAGGCATGCATCTAAGTGTGTTGAAGGAACTGACCAATGTCCTTATGAGACTGCTTTCTATCATCTTTGAAAAGTCATGGCAGACTGGGAAGGTTCCTGAAGATTTGCAAAAAAAAAAAAAAAAAATCAAACCTACTGTTCAAGAAGTCTTAGTAAACAACCAGTGCCATGGTGAACACTCAGTTGAACATGGGTCAACAGTGTGCCTTTGCAACAAAGAAAATCAGCTGCTTCCTAGGTGCGTAGCTGGCAGGTTCCACAGAAGTGATCCTGTCATGGCTTTTGGTCCAGCCAATGCCTGAGAGCATCACTTAAAGAGTGGCCTTTCCCAAATGACAGTGACCTGCCAGAGAAATCTCACAGATGCCACTCACCACGTCACAACAGGGAGGGGGAGCGTTTGACCTCTCCCAAAGCTTTTCTGAAGCAAAGATGGGTTCTGGCAATGCTGGAATCATGAGAAGGACTGGGTCTGCAGGAAAAGCCGCTCCATAACTGGGGAAGGTGAGGCCCCAGAGCAGCCATGGAGATCTGGGCACTAATCATTGTCCCATGGCAGCCCTGACACATGCTGCTGCCACATTTCATAGGTTGTGGGGAACCCAGGAAAAGCCCTGACTTGGCTGATAACAGTGCTAACTTGTAATTCACCTCAGCTCTGCATATGTGTGTAACAGTCAGGAAAAATGAAGTGGAGGTTGTGGGCTGCCCCTGTAGCTATTCCCCATAATGCTACTCCTGATGTCCTTTGGAACTACCTTCTTTCCAAGCCTCCTTCACCAGTATGATTCCATTCAGAACATGAGAAACTCTCTTCCCCAAGAACCTGTGGAGCTGCTGATCTTCCTGAGTCTCCTGAAGACACTAGACTCCTCACTTGAAGACAGCAGTGGTTGAACTCTCTGTTCACAGAATGTATACATGACATTTCTGGTCATGTACCCAGCAAGGTAGGACTGATTTCAACTGCCTTGGGAGTAGCCAGTGATGTCCTCCTCAACTCCAGTATAGCTCCTGAAAGGGACCTACTACATATATCTCTTCCTTTCCTCTGGGAATGATGATGGGGGCCTCCACCTCAGTCATCCCAGAACAAACCTTTCTCACTGAACAGCTTAGAAGAGGGTACACAGAGGGAAAGACCACATGGAGACCCAGGCTGGGATGCGGAAGAACTTTAATGAGTCAAAAAATGAAAATGAGATTGCTCTGAGTGGAAGCTCCAGTGGCCAGGGGAGCACCAAGTCTAGCCAAGAGTCTGTGACCCAGAGCCACTAGTGCTCTCTGGAGGGAGAAGGGCCATCAAGTCCACTACAGGCTAGCTCTGGGGGAGGGAGCTCATAGAACAGGGGAGAAGACAGCAAGAAAGAAGAGAGAGGGAAAGAAGAGAATGAAAGACAAGAAAGATAGGAAAGGAAGACAGTGGCCATATTTTCATAGAGCCCAAGATGGCCCCTTATGAGCAACCACTGCTGGAAGAGCCAAGGAAGGCAATTTATTCACTGTCCTAAATCTTCATCATCTGTCCGGCACCATGCTCTGAGTTCAAAATTGTCCTTCTCCCTGGCTGCTAGCAAGGAGTGCATCTTCTGCCATAGAAGCAGCTGGAAATGCTGGAGAGGTCACAGCAGTCAGAGTTGATGGGGACTCCCTCACAGCTGAGGATGCGGCCAACAGCAGCAGAGGTGGAGGATCCCACAACGGTGTTCTGCGGGAAGGAGCTGAGGATGGGTCCGGGCAAGATCACCACCACAGAAGAGGGCTCAATGACGACAGCGGAGGCCTGGCACTGCCTGACACAGGGCTCGTTGCAGCTGTTGGCCAGCGGGGTGGGCCCACAAGGCCGGCATGGCACGCACGGGTTGTAGCAGGACATGGGTGGGCTCTGGAGGTGCAGCTGGGAGAGAGGACAGGGAGAAAGCAGAGCACAGGGGCCCATGAGGCACAGCTAATACTCTAACACAGAGGAGCGAAGACACTTGCTGGGCCAGGAGCTCAAGACTGTGGAGGAAGACTCAAATCCTTCCTGACATGGTCCTGCAAAGGGCGCCAAATCCCAGGGAGGCTCCTGTCTATCCCACAGGCCAATATCCACCTCAGCTAGGTCACAGACATCTCTGTCTTATCTCTCTATTTTACCCCCACCCATGAGAAGCAACTCTAAGCCCCAACATACAACAGACCTGGTATCAGCTGAGATGTCCAGTAAGGTGAGGAGAAGGAGAAGGAAGCTAAAAGGCTTCAGACTCACCTGGTTCTGAAGGAAAAGATGGTGAGAGAAGTGGATGAGAGAGTGAGGAGCTGGGTCAGTATTTATACTGGTTCTGCACTGCCATTGGCCCAGAGCCTTGGCAGAGGTAACAATTTTCTGACAAGCTGGTCTTAAATGCAGAACATCCCAGTTAATATGGGCTGTGTTTCCATTTCCTGCCTTGCTACCTTTTCATTACCAGGTCTATGTGATTTCCATGAGTGCAGGAAGAAGACTCTTTCCAAGAGAGCTATTTCTAGGCTGAGATTCTACTTCTTGACCTCCTCTGAGCTATATTTCCAGCTGCATTGCATCCATGCCTGCTTCTGACCATCAGTCTTGCTGTTTGAGATTTGGACCCTGATTTATAGAAAACGTTCTGTCTTGAGCTTGGACCTGCCTTCTCACTGTGGTCCTTCCTGGTGATCAATGGTCTGCATTGGACGGGCCATCATTACTGCCAGGAGACCTGATCTTGACCTTGACTCACTGCCTCGTCTTCCACTTAGACCTCACACTTGCCTAAGACAAGATCCTGAGCCACAAAAAAAAAACAAGGAAGGGGAAAAAATGGAAGCTCGTGACATTTAGAAACAGGAAAAAGCCTCCTGCTCTGCCTACAGAACTGCTACTTCAGAATAGATATGGTGCCCCAAGCATTGGTGAGGACAAACAAGACCTGACGGGATTAATTAGAGTTAGCTAAGACCAAACCTTGCATCTGCTCAATGGAGGGAAGCTATGTGTTATTTACACACTCCTACAAGAATCAGAAGCACCAGCCTGCTGACCTGGCATGATGTCTTGGATGATTTGTTACTTGCCATGGGCTAGGACCCAAGTCCCTTCCAAACTAATGACAATTCTATTATCTCCTTCCCAAAACTGAACACAGGATTCGAGGTGTGGCCTAACCACTGCCAAGTACAGGGTGACGATCACTTCCCTGGTCCTGCCAGCTATACTATTCCTAATACAAGACAGGAGGCCACTGGCCTTCTTGGCCACCTGGGCACACTGCTGTCTCATGTTCAGCCAGCTCTCTGACCAACACCCTCACATCCTTTTCTGCCATGCAGCTCTCCAGCCACTCTGCCCCAAGCCTCTACAGGGTTGCTGGGGGGGTTGTTGTGACTGAAGTGCAGAACTCAGCACTTGGCCTTGTTGAAACTCATACAGTTGGTCTCAGTCCATCGATCCAGCCTGTCCTGATCTCTCTGTAGAGCCTTCCTACCCTCAAGCAGATCAACTGTTCTACTCAGCCTGGGGTTGTCTGTAAATTTGCTGAGGGTGCATTCAATCCTCTCATCCAGATCATCACTCAAGATATTAAAGAGGACCGGACCTAACACTGACCCCTGGGGAACACTGCTCGTGACTGGTTGGCAGCTAAATTTTACTCCATTTACCACCACTCTCTGGGCCAGGCCATCCTGATACAATTCACCTATTTCATCTAATCCTGATCTCATTTATTGACATCATGGAGTGAACTGTGAGCAAAATATGGCTTAAGTGGTGGCATTTACAAGCATTCACCTCACAGAATCACAGAATCACAGAATCACAGAATCACAGAATGATTGAGGTTGGAAGGGGCCTCTAGAGATCATCTAGTCCAACTCCCTGCTCAAGCAGAGAAGTAGGCAAGTGCGTGTAGGCAAGTGGCTACAGAAAACACTATTGGGAAACCTCTTAAACTTCTGAGAAATGAGCATGTTCAGGTAGCTCTCTGAAATGTCTGCACACAAATGCATGCAGCATGGGCAATAAACAGGAGGTATTAGTGACCTGTGAACAGTTGCAGGGCTATGATCCCATTGCGATTATGAAGACATCTTGGGATAGCCTGTGTGACTGGAATGCTGTAATAGATGGCTACAGACTTTTTAGGAGGGACAGGCCAGGAAGGCAAGAAGGGGCGTCACACTTTACATGGGGGAGCAGCTGAAAATGGAATATGGCACTCCTAGAGTGAATGATGAGCCAGCCAACAGTTTATGGGTTAGGATTAAAGGGCAGACTAACTTGCGGGACTCTGTTCTGGGTCTTTGCTACAGGCCAGATGATCAGGAAAAATAAGTATGTGAGGCCTTCTACAGACAGCTTGGAAGTAGGCTCACATTCACAGGTCCTGGTTCTCATGGGGCACTTTAACCACTCAATATCTGCTGGAGAGGCTACATCCTCTCCACAAGGTACAATCAAGACAGGAGGTTCCAAGACAGGATCAATGGCAATCTCCTGATACATGTGATAGAGGAGACAACGAGGAGAGATGCTCTGCTAGACCACCTACTCACAAACAAGGAAAGACTGATTGGAAATGTGAAGGAGCACCTGGGAGCACCTTGGCTGCAGTAACCATGGTGGGGCTCAGTATTCTGCCAGGAAGGGACAGGGCAAAAAGCAGGATCACAGACCTGGACTTAGGGAAAGCAAACTTTGACCTCTGCAGAGACCTGCTTGGAAGAATCCCACGGTATAGGGACCCAGAAGGAAGAGAAGTCCAACAAAGCTGGTTGAGATCGAAGTATCACCTCCTACAAACTCAAAAATCTTACACCCATACAAGAGCCTTGTATGGATGAAGAAAGTGCTCCTGTCAGCACTCACACATAAGAAGGAAGGATACAGAAAGCAGAATCAGGGACAGCAACTTGAGAGGAATATATGGATGATGTCTGAGTATGCAGGAATGGGGCTAGAAGGTGAGGCCTGAGTTGAATCTGGCAAGAGATGTCAAGGTCATTGAGAAAGGCTGCTTTAAATGCATCAGTTAGAAAAGGAAGCATAGGGAGAATGTGGGCCCACTGTTGAATAGGACAGAGGCTGTGGTGACAAAGGATACACAAAATACAGAGATACTGAATGCCTTCTTTCCTTCAGTTTTTAGAGGTAAGGTACAACTGACCCTCAGGAATCCCAGGTCTTGGAGACCAAGGAGAAAGTGTGGCTCCATGTGGATGGAGCTATGTCTCCTTCCAATCCCCAACTGCCCTGGTGCTAGGAGCACCCAAGTTGGGCTGACCCCAGTACTGCCCGGAAGCCCCTCATAGCAGACAGGACAGACATGTCACACTGTCAGATGCAGCAAGTACCCACCTTTCAAGGGGCTGCAGCGCTGTTCTTGGTTGGGAGGGGAGGGGTGCATGGCAGGGATGCCCCAGAGGGAGGCTGGAGCCAGGACTGGGACTGGAGCAGGGTCTAGGGCTGAGGTTGGCACTGCGCACTGTGCCCTTCAAGCAGTCCCTGGCATGTCAGGTTCAGAAGGACCTTGCACAGAAGAGCTGCTCTCCTTGGAGCAGGAGCAGCTCTGCTCAGCCTGGGTTCTGCAGCACCACTCTCCAGCATGGTCCTCCTGCCTCTGCTACTGTCAGGGTGACTCATGGGCAATGTCCCCTCATCCCAGGACTCCCAGGCAGCCAGACTGCTTCTGTCCTGCATGGAAATGAACTTCCTCATAGACCCCTGAAAGTGCTTTGTACCAAAGTGTCCCTCTCTTGTCTCCCGTTTTGGGCAGGTTTGTAGGTCTCCTTACCCACAGCAACCTCAGCCCTCCACTGCGCAGCCCCCCTCTCACTTATGCAGAAATGGAGGGACCACCCCAGAAGCCACAGGCACCAAGAGTGGACCTGACATCCCAAGGTCGTATTCCGGTCTGACTCATCTGCCCTTGGGAAGAAACGGAAACGTTCTTGAGCTAAAAGCGCTGAGACCTGCCGCTTTCCTGCCCTGTCAGGGACTGCACGTCTTCCCCCAGCACGATAAATGTCCCGTTCCCTTCAGCTAGTCCCTCCCCGAGACAGGCCAGGGCGCAGCCCCGGGGCGGAGCTGGCGGCGGCGGCCGAGAGGAGGCGGCGGCGCCGCAGCAGAGTCGCTGCTGGCGGG